ACCCAATAACGGAACTTTTTAGTTACATTATTCAGTAATATTCAATTTAACGTAACAAACATTCAACAATAATTTAGGTTATAATGACCCCGTTAGTGTGTGGATTTAGAGAGAACTACTATGTAACAGCATTTTTATGTTTCTGAGCCTCTTGTCCTTTGTCCTGTCCCATCTATGATCTAGTTCAAAATTCCAAACATGTTACGAGAGAATCTAACTACACAGGGCAATATCACTTCCACAGTATGTCAACTAGAATTATGTAGAAAAAAGCTGGAAAAAAATTCTACTTATTTGATTTGAGGACAACAAAATTTTCAATTTCAAACTTACATTAACATCCCCATTAGCCATAATTAGATCTAACTTGTCTTTTTTTTCTTTTCAGTGACATGTCTCTTCGTTTCTACTTCCCACGCTGGACTGGTACTTACCAAGGTTTCTCGGCCTCTTTCTTCATTTTTAGCCCTCGACCCTTCTTGGCTCTAGTTTTTCCGCAAAACCTTCATTTAAACTCTCAAACAAAATCTCTTGATCTTCAGTCGAAGTGGAATATTTATTTTCTTGGACATTTTCATGATATCTGAATATATTCTATCTCGTCCCAACTCTGAACCCGAGGTTCCAGCAGCTACTCGCAGCACGTCTTCGATCAAGGCAACATTTCCCAATATATCAACATGTGCACCACTCTCTGAACCCCTCCCCTCGAGCAAATTTGCAGGTGATTTGTGCTTGTACTCTCTTATGTATGTAGAAATTCCGGAAGGATTAAACTGTGTTTTGCCTCTCCAACCTTTGGTACACATGAAACCGGCGCTCAAGACTGGGACGCTCTCATCACCGCCCACAAAGAATACGCCACCCTTTAAGCAGCCATTGTCACTTCCGTCTGCAGAGCTATCGATTTGGAAAGGGATGCTATTGCACTTGCCTGACAGCCTGAGGGTGATTGTTTGTACACGTACGATCTTTCAGTGGGAATTCCGACTCCATATGAACAGTAAATCTCCATGTCTGGAGCCTGACAGCCTGAGGGTGATTGTTTGTACACGTACGATCTTTCAGTGGGAATTCCGACTCCATATGAACAGTAAATCTCCATGTCTGGAGCGTCTGGCAACCTGAAAACAGAGATACATTAAGGGTCCGTTTGATTGCAAAGTTGGAAAATGGGTGGAAATAAAATGTTTTACAGGGAATTGATTTTCCTAGAAAATGTTTTACTGGGAATGGTAATTAATTGTGTTTGATTGGTAAAATTTTCTATGGAAAATGTAGAAAGTTTTGTATTTATTTGACTTCGTTTTTTATGGAATTTGTCTATTAAAGTTATAATTTTT